CGACCAAATACTTGTGGTTTGTGTTGAAGAATATTCTGCAGACTATGGGAACATAACTCCATACGAATGTAATACACATTGTCTTCACTCCATTGATGTATATATTGGACACAGTACTCTGACCTAACTTTTATCAATTTTTGCATTTCTTGCATACATTCCCGTAAATGGTCAGCACCTATGCGGGTATTAATTTTAATAATTCTAATGTTCAATAATTATGAAGTGTAATCACCTTTACGTTTATGAGTTTGTATTGTAAACGAAAATAACTTTTACACAAACAAAGATTTCACTTGAATAGTAAAACAAAGTCACCTAGCACACTTACAAAGTGAATATAATTACAGTTAGGTAATATTATTGTTATATTAAATCCTAATTTGGTTAAAAAGTATAATGCACAAATAATTCAAATGAGGTAAATATAAAAATTCTATTTATTAATAATTAAATCAATTGATTTCAAAATAATAACAAATAATTATAATTTAACTCATTTAGGAATTTAAGTGAATATTCTCTAACTTTTGTTCAATTCCTTCATATTTTGCATTAAAATATTGCGCAAAAAACTTGTAATCATTTTGTTGAATGGGATTTAGTGTGGAATCAAATGTGGGATCAGTTTTGAGACAATTTTTATCAATAGACCACTCATTATATTTGTGTAAGACTTGTGAGCACTCGGGTCTATCTGTCCAGTGAGGGCCGGGTTTGTGCGGGTGATCCCAGTTATAGTATGACATTGAATTCAATACATCTGTTAATTCAATCACACATTTGTTCATAACTTCATTGTCTGAATACTTTTGTAAACTACAGAATATATTAAAATAAATATAAAAAACTCAATTAATTTTTAAATAATTTAAATATTAATTCACATTATCTTACGGTTTGTCCTCCAAATGAATCCCAAAAATATCTTTTTCTGCAATTATTGCCAAACTGTAGACATCTATCTTATGGTTATAGATCACTCCTTGACCCACTTCTGGTGCCTGATATCTCAGGTCTCCCTTATCTGAGGAGTGCTGGTGAACAGTCGCCAAACCAAAGTCACATACTTTGAAAAACCTGCTGTTCCTTACAGTCTTCGCCACTAATATATTGTCGGGTTTTAGGTCTCTATGAATGACCGGAGGATTCAATTCATGTAAATATTGAACGCATTCTAAGATCTCTTTGAATATATGACACGAAATGTAAAACTCGATTGAATTCATGGGTTCTCCCGGTTGTCGACCAAATACTTGT